GGGTTTTTCTACAGCCAAAAAAATGCTGATTACAGTCTATGTGTGCATGGAGACATAGGATAACATGCTGTAGAAAAAAAACATCAAAAGCCAAAAACAGCCGCAGTAAAAAAGTCCAGTATGCATTAGGACTAAAGTGTAACTAAACCCCGGACTCACGGCCGTTTTGTATTGCGAAAAATTCATAAACCGAAATGTGGTTTCCCATAGGAATGCATTGAAAACTAATTAATCCATTACAAAGGTCAGAAAAAAGTAATAAAAAAGTCGCTGTCGCTGTAGGTCAGTGCTAGTTTTTGAATGTAATTACCGTTTTTTTTTTCCTTCGCTATAGCTCAGAGAATCAGCTGTCATTTTCCCCCAGCTAAAAGAAAGAAAGATTCCTTTTTAGTTTTTTTTCCGAGCTAAAAGAAACAATGTTTCCTTTTAGTTTATTTCTCGAGATAAAAGAAACAAAGTATCCTTTAGCTCCGGGGAAAGTGACAGCTAATTCTGTGAGCTATAGTGAAGAAATAAAAAGCCGGCAATTGCATTTAAAAATTAGCACTGACATACACTTCGTATTGCGAAAAAAATGGTAAACTGAGGCATTGTTTTCAATGGATTTTCATTCATAAACCAAAAATTCCATTAACCGAGGCGTTTGTAAAACACCTGTACCTACAAAGCATAAGGCCCCATTTACACTTTGGCGTAGCGGGAACAAGCATCCCTGCTTGCGATTTTTTTTTTTAGCAATTCGCTTGAATGGGCTTCCCTACGTGCTTTATCGGCCAATAAGAAGCTCCGGCTCCTTTTTGGGTGACAAGCTTCATGCGATTTTGAAAGGAGTGATTTGCTGCGATTGCCACACAATCCAGTTGCAGCAGAATTACATTGTATTTGGGGTGCCATTATGGGATAACGGCACCCAAACGCAGCAATGACAACTCAATATGGGACCGCTGTCAGAATCCCAAATCGTAACGTGAATGGGACCTAATCGATGACTTTTTGTCTGATGCAGAATTGCAGATAAGTATAAATTCAAAAATTAGGTTGTTGCTTTTTGATGTTGTTGTTGATGTAGGTTTGTTTTTTGGTTAAAAAAAATTAAAAAAGAACATTAAAATTAAAATGTAATATATTGTAGCTTGCTAGTCTTTGGTGTGGTGGCTGCATTCCTTTTATTTTTTCAAGCTTCTCTTCCTTTATTTTCTTCTGGTAATCCTGCAAATAACACACTTCATGTCCCTGTGTAGTTAAAGCGGAGTTCCACCTGAAAAAAAAAAAAAATAAGTCAGCAGCTACAAAATTTGTAGCTGCTGACTTCTAAAATACAGTCACTTACCTGTCCCTTGGTCCAGCGGTGTCCTCACCACCACTGCTTTAACTGGCCGTCTTCTCTCCCCGGCGCCGGCATCTTCAGTGTGATCACACGGTTGTGACAGCTTGTGGCTTCACAGCCCACTGCGCATGTACGAGAAGCGCTGCACTTTGTGAATGGCCCCGTAGTCTTCTGGGACCTGTCACGTGTCCCACAAGACTATGGGGAAGGAGGATAACTTCCGCTTCCGATCAAATGCGAGTACCTGCTCCCCCCCACTCCCCAAAAGTGCCAATCCTTATATGGGGGAGCGGGAGACAAAGGCTTAAAGCAGAACTTCCCCTTTTGGGTGGAGCTCCTCTTTAAGTCATCCCTCCTCTCTATCTATGGAGGGAGCCATGATTGTCACCCTAGGCTGCTCTCCTGATATTGACTGTGACCTTATCAGTTTCTCTTCATCTCCATTACATGAGGGGGGGCAGGGCAATTGCAGAAGATAGCTATGGTAATGTAAGGAGGATATTGTTTGATGCAGCTCACATCCAGTGACAAGGACACTGCATTTCTGGCAGGATCAACAAGTATTTTCTGTGAATGTTCTTAGTGTGAAAAAAAAAAAGAAAACTAATGCATCCACCATCTCTAAAGATAGTAAGCTGCAATATTTTGCATTTATGTTCTTGTTTTTAGTTATCCTTTAAGTCAGTAGTGTCAAACTCAATTTACATCAGAAGTCAAGAGCCCCCCCCACCGTCAGAAGTCAAGAGCCCCCCCCACCATCAGAAATCAAGAGTCCCCCAACCTCCCTTACATCACACTGCACCCACCGTACTTTGTGCTGCTGCTGAGAAGAAATTAAAATTGGAGCTGGGAAGCAAAAAGTGCAGGGTCTGGAGAAGGACCAAAGGAGGACTGACATCAGCTGTCGGAGGGAGGCAGAGACAAGGGAGTGCAGGGTCTCGAGGAGGACTAGAGGAGGGCTGGATTCAGCTGCCAGAGTCTGCTGAATGCTGAGAGCAGGAAAGGCAGAGACGAGGGTGTGCTGCTACACAGAGAGGAGCAGGATCTGCTGGAGGAGTTCTGTCCTCCTCTCTGCCGCCAACTGATGTGACTGACTGCATGGAGAAGTGCAGAGGGCAGAGATAAGGGGGTGCTGCAGATGCAGGAGATGTGCGAGGACCATATGAAATGGTCTGGCGGGACAGTTTCGGCCTGCAGGCCTTGTGTTTGACACAGGTGGTTTAAATGCTTTGATCAAGTCGTGGTATTTGTGTATTAATGCAATGCAAATAGCTTTGTCTTTCAGTAAGGGCTCATGTACACGGGGTGTTTGGAAAACTCATCTGAACGATGGAAACTGACTGCTGGAAAACGTAGGTTAAGAAACGCGTTTGCATATCACGTTTATGTGAGATTGCGTTTAAGAGCGTTTTTAAAGGATAACCTCAGGAGACCTTCCCAAATTCCCAGAATGCACTGAAAAATAGTAAATAATTAACTATTTCAGACATTTTGAGAGAAATAGAGAGAGCAGAAGCAGAGAGAGCAGTATGTGTTGAGATGACCTGTCTTTTCTGGTTGTATTCACTATGGATCCCATCATGAGCATAATGCGGCACGTTCTACCATTATTTCCTTCACGTGAAACCTGGAACTGACTGCGCTGGTGTATCGGGTCCATTTGAATACATGGAAAACGCTTCACATGCATTTCTGATGATGAAAAAAGGCTCTGGACAGCATCTGGATATGGAACAGTTAAAAAAACGCTGGTAAATGCAAACGCTTATAAACGCGGTTAACTGCTTTTACAAGTGTTTACACGCGTTTACAAGCGTTTGGCGTTTGAAACGCCGGTAAAATCTACTCCTAAATGCAAGTTTAGTGCGGTAAAAAAATGACTGTAAACTCAACTGCCTGTAAAGGACTGTAAATGAGGATGTGTACATGGACACATAGGAAAACATTGGGGAGAGTTCAGGGCAGGGGCGGACTGACAACTCATGGGGCCCCCGGGCAATAGGGGATCATGGGGCCCCTGTGTCCTTGCCCAAACTCAAAAAAAGCCTATGAAAAAGGTACCAGGGGCATCTCATGGGGCCCCCTACTGACCCTGGGCCCTCGGGCAGTGCCGGAGTTTCCAAATGGTCAGTCCGCCCCTGGTTCAGGGGCTGCTGAAAAAAATGCTGAACATCTCCTAAATGTGAGTTTATCAGCTGCAGTGTACATGAGTCCTAAAGCTGATCTTATGCAGCTAGATTTTCATTAGATCGTTCATATAAAAATCATTCATCAGATCATCCTTTCTTGTCATCACTGAGTCAACTCATTTTGTCCAAAACTCCCAACATTTTACCCAGATATTTGAACGGAATCCCAGATGTAGTAAACAGGTTTTGCTATAATATGTCATATCATTTTTCTGAATGAAAACCACATTCACAGTTAGAATATTGTTTGTTAAAAAATATAAAATTCTGTCTTGCTCCTTCCAATTTTACAATTTTGCAATTTAACAAACATCAAACCATTAGAAAATTGAATGTTCCACAAATGAACATTCTACTGATGTGTGGGCAGCTTACAGCGGCATTAAACCCAAAAGCAATCATTCATTATATTACAGCTTACCAATTCTTAGATGTGGTGGCTGCATTCATTTTCTTTTTTTTTAGACTTTTTTTTCTTTTTTTTTTTCATCGGGTGATCCAGCAAGTGTGTTGTTTTTCAAAAGCACAAACTCTCCAGCAGAATTTATCAGTTTACACGAATGAGAAAAACCATATAACGCTGACAGGGGTGCCTAAAATGATCAGCCTTTATTTATTCATGTAAAAACTTTTACCTAAAAGGAAAAAAAAAAAAAAACGTTTTGCCGTAACTGCTGATAAAGTGTGAGCTGGAGTTTGGCTTCAATTTGTTAGTGTATTTAAATCTGATAGTACATCTAACACTCCTCTCCCCCACAAACTGATGATGCTGCTGTCCCAAATGTGCCCCCTGTGCTCCTTCATCCATAGTGGGGGCGTGCTAATACAGGAGGTGTGTTACTGGCCAATCACCAGGTGAAAATAGAGGGGAGAAAGCCTAAAAAAGAAAACTAATGCTACCACCACATCTAATAATTGGTAAGCTGCAATATAGTTTGGGGTTTAATACCGGGATTTAATTTCCATTTCCCCCGGTTTGTGGCATTTTAGGCCCTGCTATACAACAACATTGGAAGCTATCATGCAGTGTATTCAGCCAGCAAGAAGACTTTGTTCCTGACTTTGTAACGTGTCATAGGGATTTTCTGTTCATACATTACAAGAGACATTCCCATCTCGCATCTGACACTATAGATGGTACATAGGGGGACCAGCAATACTCGGGGGGGGACGACAGGAAATGTGGAGCTTTAGCTGATTTTGTTTCTAGGATTTAGAAAATGATTTATATGCTGTTTTGGGGGATAATTTCCAACCAAAGTATTTGAGGATGTGTCTGCGTACATAAGTGTCACTCTTTGTAAAAGGCAAAGTCATTTATTATGTAGATATTTGGGGTGCAGTGTAAGGATAGGGATTAGATTTAATAAATATCATATGTGGGATTCTATTTTTTTTCATACCGGCTCTTGATGTTTAGGGGGATTCTTACAAATACAGAATTAAGGTATAAAGAATGCCAAGGTTTAAAGTGTTACTAAACCCTGGACCCTGCATTCACTATATCTGGTCCCCCAGACCCTGCATTCACTATATCTGGTCTCCCCGGACCCTGCATTCACTATATCTGGTCTCCCCGGACCCTGCATTCACTATATCTGGTCCCCCCTGGACCCTGCATTCACTATATCTGGTCTCCCAGACCCTGCATTCACTATATCTGGTCTCCCTGGACCCTGCATTCACTATATCCGGTCTCCCGGGCCCTGCATTCGCTATATCCGGTCTCCCAGGACCCTGCATTCACTATATCCGGTCTCCCAGGACCCTGCATTCACTATATCTGGTCTCCCAGGACCCTGCATTCACTATATCCGTCTGGTCTCCGAAGACCCTGTAGTCACTATATCTGGTCTCCCCGGACATTGCATTCACTATATCTGGTCTCCCCGGACCCTGCATTCACTATATCTGGTCTCCATAGACCCTGCATTCACTATATCTGGTCTCCCCGGACCCTGCATTCACTATATCTTTTCTCCCTGGAACCTGCATTCACTATATCTGGTCTCCTAGGACCCTGCATTCACTATATCTGGTCTCCCTGGACCCTGCAGTCACTATATCTGGTCTCCCAGGACCCTGCATTCACTATATCTGGTCTCCCTGGACCCTGCAGTCACTATATCTGGTCTCCCCAGTCTCCCCTGCATTCACTATATCTGGTCTCCCCAGACCCTGCATTCACTATATCTGGTCTCCCCGGACCCTGCATTCACTATATCTGGTCTCCCACAGTACACACAACATGGAAATGCAATTATTTTAGGAAATATATATAAGAGCTGCATAAATTGACAGCACTATATAGGTACCTGAAATAAAATAAATAATAAAATATAAATTGCTGAATACCTTTTCTCATCAGCAGTTAGAGCAGTCTTGTGACTTCTATCACTGTTCAGCATCGCACTGGTTAAAGCTTGTAGGAGGAGTTTTCAATCTCCCCTCATTGTCCTAAGAGGCGGCATAACTCTGACCCTCTGTCTGGACAGTGCTGATTGGCCCTATACTGATCGCACTGATAGGCAGCACTGATGGGTGACACTGACGGGCGGCTCTGACTGACGGCACTGACTGGCAGACTGTTGGCACTGACTGGCAGCACTGCTGGGCATTGATGCATGGCACTGATGGGCATGCTGGGCGACACTGATGGGCGTAACTGCTGGGCAGCACTGATGGATGGCACTGCTGGGGGGCACTGCTGGGCACTGATGGGGGCACTGATGGGTCACTGTTGGGCACTGATGGGCGACACACTGCTGGGCACTAGTGGGTGGCACTGCTGGGCGGCACTGCAGGGCAATGATCATCAGTGCTCTGATGATCAGTGCCGATCTGCTCAGTGACAGCTGCCGATAACCGGCAACTGTATTTACTCTGTGATCTGCTGTGTCATTGGACACAGGTGATCACATGGTAAAAGGCCGCTGTGATTGGCCTTTTACCTCATCACGTGATCCGTAGGACACAGCGATGGGGGGGGGGGGGGGGCGCATTCTGGGAGGACGTCATATGACGAAACTCCTTGAACTGGACAACCGCGCCGTAGCTGTCATTCAGCTATAGAGCGGTTACCAATTGGTTAAAGTTAATTTTAGGGTACAGAAACGTAATAATTTACCCAATTTTTTTTTGTAAAATCGAAAAGATGAGGTTTACACCGAGTAAATAGATATCCAACATGTCAAATTTTAAATTTGCGTGTGTCCATGAAATGGCAACAAATTTCAGTACCCCATATTTTCCATGGGCAACACTTTAAAAGCGCCCTATAGGTCTTCATATTATTGTTAGGAGGAGGTCTGCTGCTAGAATTATTGCTCTCATTCCAGCATGTGCAACAATATGTAACATGTGTATTGCAATCAATGTTTTCATGCGCACCCAACGTATGCGCTTACGTTCATATGTACATATATGTGAGGTTGGGGGGGGCCTCAAAAATTTTTTTTGAGGGGGGATTTTATATGCTTCAGTGCAACTTAAATTTTTTTTACAATTCAAATTTTTTTTTTACTTAACTTTTTTTTCATCACATAGGGGACAAAAAGTCCCCTATAGGCTGCTGCGGGGGAGAGGAGAGAACCTTAGGAGCCTATGGGTGACATCATGGCTACCAGAATTTCAATGCCATTGAACCGCCCAGCAATCCCATACACAAAGCTGCAGAATTACAGAGCAGATTAACCACTCACTGTCCGCCCACAGTACACTTACTGCGAGCGGGCAGCACGTGCAGGCTGGATTACATACAGTACATGTATGCCATCCAGCCTGCTCAGGTTTAGGAGCACGCACCAACTATGATTACACATGATTACAATGTCAACAAAACTGTTATGAATGAATCACATTTATGAAAGCTGTGCTTCCTATACCAGTAAGTTGTGATTGGCCCACAGCTATCACATGGTACCTGGGCCAATCACAGCACCCTGTACCACGTGATTAGCTGTAGCCAGACACTAGTAATCACAGCTGTTGAATGAATGTAACTTAATCATGACATTGCTGTTACACAGATTTTCCTTGTAACAGCAAAGTGTAAAAAAAAAAAAAAAAAATCCCTGATCACCCCCCAGAGTAGTACAGTGTTTCTATGGTGACACTGAACCAGGGGCGGACTGACCATTTGGAAACTCGGGCACTGCTTGAGGGCCCGGGGTCAGTAGAGGGCCCCATGAGATGCCCCTAGTACCTTTTTTATAGGCTTTTTTGAGTTTGGGCAAGGACACAGGGGCCCCATGATCCCCTATTGCCCAGGGGCCCCATGAGTTATCAGTCCGCCACTGCACTGAACTACTCTGATAAAAGTATGTTAAAAAAATAGTAAAAGAAAAGAAAAGTGTACTAAATTGAATGAAAAATTATTTTAAAATTTCTATTTTTTTTTTACATACTGTCACCAGTTGCTGTCCCTGATCACCGCTGCAGGGATGACACTGTACTGCACTGGTAACAGTATGTAAAAATAATTGTGGAAAAAAAACAAATTTTATTTAATTTTTTTCGTTTTTCAAAAAATTGTGACAAAAAATTACAACTTCAAAAAGTTCACCATGCCTTTTACTAAATACCTCAGACTGTCTACTTTCCAAAAAGTCATTATTTGGGGGCATTTGTACTGTCCTGGCATTTTAAGGGCCTCAAGAAATGAGATGGGCAGTCAGATCGGCCGTCAGTACATCAGAATTGATCAATTTTCAAATATATATCCCATTGTTTGTAGACACCATACCATTCACTAAAAACAATCAGTATACACTTATTGGGATTTTTTTTCCAAAGACATGTAGCAGAATATATTTTGGCCTAAATTTATGAAAATCTTTGCTTTTTTGTTGATGTTTTATAACACACAATATTGTTTTTTTTCTCAACATTTTGATCTTTTTTTTTTTTTTATAATAATAATAATTAAAAAAAACCAGTGGTGATCAAATACCACCAAAAGAATGTTCAATTTGTGTGCAAAAAAAAATCTATAAATTTCACTTGGGTACGGTGTTGCATGACTGCGTAATTGCTAGTCAAAGTAGCACAGTGCTGAATCTCAAAAAATAATGGTCTTTTCATTAAGTCATTATCAGGGGCGGACTGAGTCATGGGGCCCCCGGGCAATAGGGGATCATGGGGCCCCTGTGTCCTTGCCCACACTCAAAAAAAAGCCTATAAAAAAGGTACCCGGGCATTTCATGGGGCCCCCTACTAACCCCGGGCCCTCGGGCAGTGCCCAAATGGTCAGTCCGCCCCTTGTCATTATGTACTAGTATGCACATTATGACAGACTTACCTGGATACAGAACCCTCCAGTGCAGTGCTGTCATGGGCTCCTGGGTGCATCCATCTTCACCCGTTGTTCCTTCTGGGTTGCGGACTCTGGCTGTATGAATGACCGGGGCCGTGATGACGTCACTTCCATGCATGCGCACGCAGCTCTGAAGGTACGGCGCAGGTACAGCTTCAGAGCTCATGCACTGGTGACGTCACCAGCTCATGCAGTGTGAAAATTTTGGAGATATGCATTGTACCTACAGGTAAGTCTTATGATAGGTACTTCCACTTTAGTAGACCTGCTGTAGGGACTGCACTGACTTAGTGAGTTTATATATTTCAGGTACTTATATAGCGCCATCAATTTACACAGCGCTTTACATATATATTGTACATTCACATCAGTCCCTAACCCTCAAGGGGTGTACAATCTAAGGTCCCTAATTTACATTGATACATACACATACTAGGGACAATTTACACAGGATCCAATTAACCTACCAGCATGTCTTTGAAGTGTGGGAGGAAACCGGAGTACCCGGAGGAAAACCCACACAGGCAGAACATGCAAACTCCAGGCAGGTGGTGCTGTGGTTGGGATTTGAACCACTGACCCTAGTACTGCCAGGGGGAAGTCTTACCCATTCAGCCACTGTGCTGCCCTAGTTGGTATATTTCTGTGGATTAAACCATTATACCTCTTTATTAGCAATAAAAACTGACAAGGGTTCAAATTCTTCTCCACTGTATCCATCCCAATAGACATCGCATGACATAAATACCACATATTCCAGAAAAATACTGCATGCAGCAGGGGTGGACTGACAACTTATGGGGCCCCCGGGCAATAGGGGATCATGGGGCCCCTGTGTCCTTGCCCAAACTCAAAAAAGCCTATGAAAAAGGTACTCATGGGGCCCCCTACTACGGCAGTGCCCGAGTTTCCAAATGGTCAGTCCGCCCCTGGCATGCAGTATTTTAGAAGATTTTAGAAGATTTTTTTTTTTTTTTTGTGAATGCCAAAAAACTTTTTGAACAACTCTAAGCTTTGTGAATGGAGCCCATTTTTTTAATGTATATTTATTTATATGCCTTTTGGACAGTGTAGGGAGCCCGGGGCATCATAACTGATAACCGACACTTCAAAATGGACAAAAATCAGACCAGGTAGGTTGGAATTTTTTTTGCATATTCCCTATTGTTTTTCTTGGTGCTGCAGTGAGGACAATGGTGTCATGCTCGGTGTCATATTCCGTGACCTGTAGTGTGACCAAATGGACAAATGGGGATAAACAAGCATGGGATGTTCAGATCCTCAACCACAGATGTTCATCAATTCAATCAAGTGAAAGACAGAATCTGATGGAAAATCAGTGAACACCCAGTACATGGATCACTGTGGATCACTCGCTTGGTACCTGCTGCATTCATAGGAAGGATTTCATTCTTTTCAGTGAAAGCAAGGCATTGTGTGATTAGAGGAAGTGTGGATGAACGCAATATCCTCCAATCACAGAATAACTTGTAGTATCACCTGCAGTACACTCAGTACACTGTGGGTCGCTTGCTTGGTACTTCCTCCACTCATAGAAAGGATTCAGTTCTTTTCAATGAATGCAAGGCGTTCTGTGATTGGAGGAGGTGTGGATGAACATCATAATCCCCTCCTCCAGTCACAGCCTCCAGTCACAGAACAACTTGTAGCACCAGCTGCAGTAAACCAAGTATATTGATTACTGTGAGTCACTTACTTGGTAACTTCTCTATTCATAGGAATGGATGCATTCTTTTGAATGGATGCAGGGTACTCTGTGATTGGAGGAGGTGTGGACAGAGGCGGACTGACCATTCGAGCACTCGGACACTGCCCAAAAGGGCCCGGGGTCAGTGGGAGGCCCCATGAAATGCCCCTGGTACCTTTTTATAGGCTTTTTTGGGTGTGCTTTGAGTGTGGGCAAGGACACAGGGGTCCCATGATGCCCTATTGCCCGGGGGGCCCCATGAGTTGTCAGTCCACCTCTGGGTGTGGATAATTGTCACAACCACCTTCCTCTTCCAATCATAGAATGACTTGTAGTACCAGCTGCTGTACACCCAGTGCATTGATTACTGTGAGTCGCTCACTTGGTAACTTCTCCATTCATAGGAATGGTTGCATTCTTTTCAATGAATGCAAGGCACTTTGTGATTGGAGGAGGTGTGGATGAGCATCACAATCGCCCTCCTCCAATCACATAATGACTTGTAATATCTAATGCAGTACACCCAGTCAGGGGTGGACTGACCATTTGGAAACTCGGGCAATGCCCGAGGGCCCGGGGTCAGTAGGGGGCCCCATGAGATGCCCCTGGTACCTTTTTTCTAGGCTTTTTTGAGTTTGGGCAAGGACACGGGCCCCATGATCCCCTATTGCCCAGGGGCCCCATGAGTTGTCAGTCCGCCCCTGACCCAGTACATTGCTTACTGTGAGTCGCTCACTTAGTAACTCTCACATTCATAGGAATCATTGCATTCATTTCAATGAATGCAAGGCACTCTGTGATTGGAGGAGGTGTGGATGAACATCACAATCCCCTCCTCCAATCACAGAACAACTTGTAGTACTGGCTGCAGTACACCCAGTTCATTGATCACTGTGGGTCGCTCATTTGGTACCTCCTCTATTCATTGGAAGAGTTTCATTCATTTCATTGGAGGAGGTGTGGATGAACATCACAGTCCTCCCAACTCCAATCACAGAATGGCTTGTAGTATCAGCTGCACTACACTGACCACTGCAGGTCGCTGGCCCGGCATCTCCACTATTCATAAAAAGCCTTGCATTCTTTTCAATGAATCCAATGTGCTCCGTGACCTGATGCTGATAAAGACCTCATCCTTGTATACAGCAAGAGATATATATACTGTGCCCATACAGAAATATATTTACTTGCTGGTGGAGCTGTGATAAAAGACTCGCGCACACGGGACGTCTTTTCTTCTAGACGCATTTCTTCTTGGCAGCAGTGTTCTGGCAGAAAAAACAGGACGCTTGAAGAGGCGTGTAACACGTTTAGGAACACCAAGCACTTGGGTGTTCATTTATTTCCGTGACCAGAATAATAATGAATTCAGGACACTGGGAAGAATTGACGCTCAAGCGCTGAACGTGTCTAGCTTTTGCGTACGTTTAGATTCGTTGAGGCGCGTTTCAGGTTTTCCTGCCATGGATGTGCTGGCTGGGGGTTTTGCTGCCTCTAAACTCCTTTATATGACTCTGTGTGCATTGGATTAGGCTGACATGGAGGGGCGCTTAGAGGCAGGAGAAAATAAAATGCCAAACGCCCCTAACAGCCACGTTAAAGGGTCATTCCACTGCAGGGGCGGACTGATAACTCATGGGGCCCCGGGCAATAGGGGATCATAGGGCCCCTGTGTCCTTGCCCAAACTCAAAAAAGCCTATGAAAAAGGTACCAGGGGCATCTCATGGGGCCCCCTACTGACCCCGGGCCCTCGGGCAGTGCCCGAGTTTCCAAATGGTCAGTCCGCCCCTGGTCCACTGTCATGGGGAACAAAATACAAAATAGGAAAAACAAAATATATAGCATATACAGTTGTGCAGTGGTGTTGTTAGGTTTCGTCGTGCTGCCCTAGGCAACACCAAATTTGCCCCCCATGGAGAGACCCTGACACCAACCAACACCTCCCTTCCCCATGAAGAGAGCCTGACATTGACTAACAACATCCCAGGCACCACCCGAGCCTTCCACTACCACAGCCCCTCATACACTGACAACCCCCCCCCCCCCAACTTGGCAAGAGATAAGACACTCACCTTCACAGCTCCGAACTTCCCCAGGAACAAGAGTCGGGCTCTGCATACACCATCAAACAGACAGCAGCCTCTCTCAGATCCAACCTGGTCCCCATGCTGTGTGTGTCCCTTCTTTCAGACCTTGTTTTGGAGGGCAGCTCTGCCCCCTGAAAAATGGTGCTGCCCCCCTGAAAAATGCCACCCTAGGCAAATGCCTTGTTTGCCTTGTGGTAAATACACCCCTGCAGTTGTGACATAAATCATATTGTAATTGAAGGTTATTAATAAAGACCTTTCCCTTTCAATCTGCAGCTCTGTCATTTTCTGTAAAATTCAATATGGCAACCTGGAGGCGTTCTGTACTCAGATGGTGTATAGAAACACCCCCCCCCCCCCAGAGATGTCTTTTCCTGCTTGTGTGATTGGCTCACTGATTTTCCCAGAAGTCTGCTCTAAGATACAAGTCAAATTTTAGACATTCCCTGAAGCAAAAAAATCATTTTTGGTGAGGGAAATCACATCTAAAGGGATGCAGACCCTGCCAATTTCCTCATTAGAGCCCTGCACGTGCAGCAGCTGAATGATAATTATAACATCTCTCCCATGCAGGTTCACTCCGCACATGGACGCAGACAAACAAACAGCTAGTTCTTCAGAATAACAAAAAGTAGGGATCTACAACAAAGTTTGCTGAAATCCCTGCAGTGTATATCAATCACCAGGAGGGGAATGATTTTTTTCTCAACAAAAGCGGAGTTACTCTTTAGCTGCTTTCCTGCCGCACTATAGCAGAAGTACTGCTACAGAGCGGCAGGGCTGCCCAAAATCACATATATATGTGATTTGAATCTCTGGGTAGAAGGTGCACGTGAACGCCGCCCCACCCGCGACACTGTTGGCGGCTAGCGATGTCAATCACCAGGTCCCAGCCAGCAAATCTAGGCTGGCAAGTGGCAATTACTGGGTATAGCTCAGAGGGTAGAGACCTGTGTGCAGGGGTGGACTGACAACTCATTGGGCCCCCCGGGCAATAGGGGATCATGGGGCCCCTGTGTCCTCGCCCACACTCAAACCACACCCAAAAAGCCTATGAAAGGTACCAGGGGCATGTCATGGGGCCTTCTACTGACCCAGGGCCCTTGGGCAGTGCCCGAGTTCCCAAATGGTCAGTCCACCCCTGCCTGTATGTAAACAACACAGATCTCTCTCCTGTCAGCAAGGACATGCCTCCATAGTAAAACACACACAGTACATGATGTAAAACAGTACACAGTTAACCCTTTGATTGCCCCAGATGTTAACCCCTTCCTGCCCAGTGCCATCAGTACAGTGTCAGTGCTATTTATTAGCACTGATCACTGTATTGGTGTCACTGGGGATGTCAGTGACAGTTAGTCAGTTCCCCCCCCCCCCCCCCAATGTCAGAGTGCCCGCCGCAGTCCCGCAGTCGCTGATTACCACCATTAGTAGTATAAAAGAAAAATCTCAGTATATATACCGCCATTTGTAAACTCCATAACTTTCACTTAAACCAATTAATTTACACATATTGGGATTTTTTTTTTTAGCGAAGACATGTAAGCAGAATACATTTTGGCCTAAATTTATGACGAAATTTGATTTTTTTTTTCATTATTTTTTGTTGGAAATGTTTTATAGCACAAAGTCAAAAATATATATATTTTTTCAAAATTGTCATTTTTTTTTTTGTTTATAGCGCAAAAAAAAAACAAAAACGCAGAGGTGATCAAATAGCACCGAAAGAAAGCTCTATTTGTGGAAAAAAAGGACATAAATTTCATTTGGGTACAGCGTTGCATGACCGCACAATTTCCAGGTAAAGTAACGCAGTGTTGTATCGCAAAAATTGCCTGGTCAGAAAGGGGGGTAAATCCTGTGGAGTGCAAGGGGTTAAAAAGGTCCAGCGTGCATGAGACCATAAGGATAGAAGGATTGCCGTGTTGGGGATTGCAGGTAAGCTGGTTCTGGAATTATCAGTAGAGGAGTAAGGGGACCACACTGGGTTACTACATGAGTGTTCAGAGACGCCAAAGAATTTTCCTATGTTTTGAGAAATAACTTTAATAGTATTACTTGGTTGGTCTTCTAAAACTCAAATTGGCCGATTCCTTTTAGCAACTAAAGGCAAGTCTCTGCTTTCTATCAATCAATGTCCAAGGTCTGCCATGTGTGGTCAGGACCCTGGGCTGAAAGCAAATTCTGACAAATGCTGCAATTAGTTCTTGCTTGACAGCAGAAAAATGTGAAAGTGATTCTGTAAACTGACATTGGTCATGCGGTAAAGCAGAACTGATGTGGCCTGGACTGCTGACACCGCTCTGCTGAGGTAGGCTGCCATCAATCTCACCAACCAGTCTTCCTGCCTTCAGAAACACTCTCTGTGGCTAAAGTGGAGAGTTGCTAATTTATTCATTTATTCACAAACAAAGATTAGCCTAAAATTAGATTGAAATTAAAGTGTTACCAATTCCCGGACCCTGCATTCATTATATCTGGTCTCCCCGGACCCTCCATTCATTATATCTGATCTCCCCAGACCCTGCAATCATTATATCTGGTCTCTCCGGACCCTGCATTCACTATATCAGGTCTCCCCGGACCCTGCATTCACTATATCTGGTCTCCCGGGACCCCGCATTCACTATATCTGGTCTCCCCGGACCCTGTATTCATTATATATGGTCTCCCTGGATCCTGCATTCACTATATCTGGTCTCCCCGGACCCTGCATTCACTATATATGGTCTCCCAGGACCCTGCAATCATTATATATGGTCTCCCAGGACCCTGCAATCATTATATCTGGTCTCCCTGGATCCTGCATTCCACTATATCTAGTCTCCCCGGACCCTGCAATCATTATATATGGTCTCCCAGGACCTGCATTCACTATATCACTCCCCGGACCCTGCATTCACTATATCTGGTCTCCCCAGACGCTGCAATCATTATATATGGTCTTCCCGGACCCTGCATTCATTATATATGGTCTCCCTGGACCCTGCATTCACTATATCTGGTCTCCCTGGACCCTGCATTCCCTATATCTGGTCTCCCCGGACCCTGCATTCACTATATCTGGTCTCCCCGGACCCTGCATTCACTATATCTGGTCTCCCTGGACCCTGCATGCACTATATCTGGTCTCCCTGGACCCTGCATGCACTATATCTGGTCTCCCCGGACCCTGCATTCACTATATCTGGTCTCCCTGGACCCTGCATGCACTATATCTGGTCTCCCCGGACCCTGCATTCACTATATCTGGTCTCCCCAGACCCTGCATTCACTATATCTGGTCTCCCCGGACCTGCACTGCACTATATCTGGTCTCCCCTGACCCTGCATTCACTATATCTGGTCTCCCTGGACCCTGCATGCACTATATCTGGTCTCCCCGAACCCTGCAATCATTGTATATGGTCTCCCCGGACCCTGCATGCACTATATCTGGTCTCCCCGGACCCTGCATTTATTATATATGGTCTCCCCGGACCCTGCAATCACTATATCTGGTCTCCCAGGACCCTGCATTCACTATATCTGGTCTCCCCGGACCCTGCAATCATTGTATATGGTCTCCCCGGACCCTGCATGCACTATATCTGGTCTCCCCGGACCCTGCATTTATTATATATGGTCTCCCCGGACCCTGCATTCACTATATCTGGTCTCCCAGGACCCTGCATCACTATATCTGGTCTCCCGGACCCTGCATTCACTATATCTGGTCTCCCAGGACCCTGCATTCACTATATCGGTCTCCCAGGACCCTGCATTCACTATACCTGGTCCCCCGGACCCTGCATTCACTATATCTGGTCTCCCCGGACCCTGCATTCACCATATCTGATCTCCCCGGACCCTGCATTCACCATATCTGATCTCCCGGACCCTGCATTCTCTATATATGGTCTCCCAGGACCCTGCATTCACTATATCTGGTCTCCCACAGTACACACAACATGGAAATGCAATTATTTTAGTAAATATAAACTGCCAAATATCTTTTCTCATCAGGAATTAGTGCAGTCTTGACTTCAGCAGAGCACTGGTTAAAGTTTGTAGGAGGAGTTTTCTTTCTGCTCTAGGAGGATGCAGAACCCCTTACCTCTGTCTGGACAGTGCTGATTGGCCCTGTGCTGAACACATGCACTCTCTCAAGAAAAAAAAAGATATCTCTCTAGCAATACACACTAAACTGAGCATGTGCAGAAGGCCTACAGGTTCAATCTGTCTTATTAGCGTGGACATTTGAACAAGAGGAGGGATAGAGAAGACAGGATCAAACATCCGTTTTACACAATGCAGAGGATTAACCCCTTAGGTTCCACAGTGAGTATAACAAGCATGCTTTACTGCATATACAGACTGATTGTACTGTTGTGGGTTTAGTAACACTTTAAATTAGAAAAGAAATTACTTTTCACTTGGGTGGAAGAATTGTTTCAGACAGAAATTTAAAGTGGTTGTAGACCTCAGACATGAAATAGGCATAGGCATTTTCACCATGCTTTCTGCAAAGGTCTAGGAAATGCAAATTTTAAGTAAAAATCATAATAAAGTGGATTTTAGGGCAAACAAACACAATAAACTACCCAAATTTATGGTAAAATATAAAAGACAAGGTTGTGCAGAGTAAATAGATACTGAAGGAATTGGGGATTCCCAGACTACCACTTTTGAGACCTTGAGGCCCTTTTTTCTAGATTTTGCAGAGTTAATTGATACCCAACATGCCACACCTTAAATTTATGTGCGCTTGAAGTTGCATCAAACTCCAATACGCTATATTTTCTATAGACAACGCTTCAAAAGCCGCTATAGGTCATCAGTTTAGTGTTACGGAGGAGGTCTGGTGCTCGAATTATTGTTCTCATTCTGGCGTGCACAGTGATATGTAACATGTGTATCACACATAGGTGCCCTGGCATGTGCATTCGAACATGCGTATGTGGGGGTGGAGGGCCTCAAATTTTTTTGGGGGGGATGTTATGTGCTTGAGTGTAACTTTATTTTTTTTTTTTGGTGACAGGTTCTCTTCATGGTGACATGCAGGGTCTAAAAGACCCCCAATGTCTCCTCTGTGATCCATTAAAATGTATTGCAATGCAAACCGCATTGCAATACATCTTTCCTTGGCTATTCTAGCTGGCGTCATGGATGGCCAGGTCACAGAAAGAAGGGAAGGGGAGCGGACTCTCGCCCACTCTCCTCTCTCCCCTCCATCCGCCGGCACCTGCCATGGCTCTCCTCGGGCCCACAGATAGGCAAGCGAAGTCTGGTAACATGGCAGGAGTGCACCCGCCGGGGGCTGTAGAATCAATTGGCAGCAGGGGAATCGCCTGACTGCTTCCATCAAACAGGCAGGAGTCTGCCTGTCAGTTTTGTACACAATCCCGGTGGCTGCAGCCACTGGATTATGTATGTATATGTTTGCAAAGTGATTGCTCAGCCCTTATCAACCTTTTTACCCCAGAGGAACCCCTGAAATAATGTCCAGGTCTTAGGGAACCCCTGCTAAAATCACTTCATTGGTGGTCAATGGGAAGAATGCCTTTCCTAAAGCCAGAATGCCACCCTTACAAACAGATAAAAAGTTAACTGGTGTCATGCAGCTGGCTCTGTCAAGTGGGATTGACCCATCACTATGAAGCCCCATCAAAGGAGGTCAAAGCTCAATGAAACCCCTAGCATCCTCTGGAGGAACCCTTGTTGAGAGTGGTTGACCTAGGTTTATAAATAGGGTGAATATGTGTTCACATTGATACCCAATCATGTGACATGAAAAAAACAGGATTTTGCTGTCACGATCCGGTGATTAGAGTGAACACTGCTTCCATTATTCATTAAGCTGAATGAGCCCTCACCTTGCTAAGTGAGTCTCTGCTTTTATAAAATGTAACCTCAACACAGGTCATGAATGAGCTTTGGCACATTCCCTTGTCTACACACAGCCTATCTGCATTCTGAATTGTTTACTATAGAGGACAACATACCTGCACACTAGGACTAAGTCCATCAAAATGGAAAATTGAATGCTTACCTTTCCGTAATTTTCCTTTCCTGGTGCCTGACAGCATACGTATGGTTGTCCAGGGGCACAGTAATTACCATGCGTATGTTCCCTGGTGCCTTCATGGCAGCATACATATGGTAATTGCTCCGCCCCACAGGACCATTATAACATTATAAAAAAAGAGCACCGCCCCTCTCACCCCATTCCCTTTTCTGTCCCAAGAGGCGCCTGCAAGAGGGATTACATCATCATGAGCAGCCCTGGATAGGGGTCTCCCCAGAAATGATCTGCAGGGCAGCAAGCTGGTCTTTGTTCTCCACGTTTATGCCCCATTAAAGCTTGGGGACCCAGCCAGGCGCGGACTGACAACTCATGGGGCCCCCGGGCAATAGGGGATCATGGGGCCCCTGTGTTCTTGCCCATACTCAAAAAAGCCTATAAAAAAGGTACCAGGGGCATCTCATGGGGCCCCTTACTGACCCCAGGCCCTCGGGCAGTGCCAAGTGCTCGAATGGTCAGTCCGCCCCTGGACCCAGATAGTCTCACCCCTCTCAAGATTTTGGGTGGAAGACCTCAAAGTTTTCTATTTCATAATAATCAATTAAACTATTTGATTTAAACAGCAGTTCTCTCCCTAGTAGCAAGTTATTTTCCATATGTACTGTATGTTGCCATGAAGGCACCAGGAAAACAGAAAATTACGGAAAATTAAGTATTCCATTTTCCTGATGCCTTCATGGCAGCATACAGTACATATGGAAAATAACTTGCTACCAGGGAGAGAAATGCTGATTAAATCAAATAGTTTAATTGATTATTATGAAATAGAAAATTATAAGGTCTTCCACCCAAAATCTCGGGAGTTGAGACTAGCTGGATCCGAGCTGTAATGGACCATATACCTGGAGAATGGAGACCAGCTTGCTGCCTTGCAGATTATCTAAGGGGAGACCCTAGCCAGGGCTGCCCATGATGATGACATCCCTCTTGCAGGGACAGAAAAGGGAATGGGACTGGGTGGGTGGTGCTATTTTTTTTAATAGAGTTATAATGGTCCTGTGGGTTGTCCAGGGTGGAGCAATTATCATATGGATGCTGCCATGAAGGCACCAGCAAAAAAGAATCTGTTCCACCTACCTGACTAAAGGTTTTCAGGGCTAGGAGCCTAGCATAACAAAACCTTCTTAACCTCCCTGGCGGTATGATCATGTCAGGAATTTTGTGCTGAAAGCGGTACCATTTTTTTGCATGGAAATATGTAGTTTTTAATTGTAGGCTGTAATTTTTAGGAATAACTCACTGAAATCTGTCCGAACAAGAGTCTATTAAACATTCCTGATATGATAAAACTTGAAACATGAAATCATAAATTTTAATTTAATAAATAATCATAAAAAATAATAATATAATAATAATAAATTTAATTCAATAATATAATCAAACCAAAAGCACTGAAATTTGAAATACAGAGGCAAATTCGCACATCGCTGAGCAAAGTCGCAAAATCGTTTTCAGTGTCTGATGACGAATTTCCCCACAAATCATTATCACTCAATTCTGCAAGTGGTTCTGATTT